TATATGTATGTATGTGTGTGTGTGTAAACAGAGACAGATAGAAACTGAGGCAAATCGAGAGGGAGATACAGAGAGAGGGAGAGACAGATGCGAAATTCAAACATACCTGGGAGGGAGTTCGGGGGATGATCCAGTTCGGGGGAGTTCGGGCGATGGAGACTATTCCTGTACAGAAAAGGGCAGAGGCGTGAGTGTACATATGATTTGGGAAAATAATCCAGTATATATGGAATCAATGTTGTGAATATATGATTCGTGTGTGTGTGTAAACAGAGAGAGAGAGAGAAAGAGGGAAACCGAAAGGCCGTGTGAGATGTTTAAGAAATGGAGAGGGAGATACAGAGAGAGAGAGGGAGATACCTGTACAGCAACTCTTGCGATGGAGACAGAGCAGTGATAGAGGCAGGAGTGCGAGAGGGAGGGAACTGGGATCCTTTTGCAATGCAAATAGAAGAAGTAATATTCCCTCCACAATTTCGTGGGACGTTTGGCGACGAAAATGAAATTAGTCGCCGAAACTAATTAATTCTAAAGCAACCTTTTGGCGACCAAAATTTTGGTCGCGAAAGGTATAAAAGTGAATTTTTTTTTTTTTTTTCATTCGACAAAACAAATCGAAAAATTATAATTTTGTTCTAAAATTTCAAAAAAAATTCAGTAAAGATAAAAAATAACAAAAAAAAATAGTAAATAAAAATAGTAAAATCGAACCAATGAGCAAATCGAACCGTAACATAACGTAGAAAGAGTTCATGCAGCATTTCATAAAGCCTCTCAGAACAAGGGTGGATTTTATCAGCAACATAACAGTTGTGAGTTTCACTATTAATATATCTCTGCAAATGTGTGTGTATATATATGAGGAATTTGGGGATCCTGGAGAAGAGAAAAAAGAAGAAAAATGAAAATCATGTGTCTCTGGAAATGTGTATATATATATATATATATGTATATATACACATTTCCAGAGACACATGATTTTCATTTTTCTTCTTTTTTCTCTTCTCCAGGATCCCCAAATTCCTCATATATATACACACACATTTGCAGAGATATATTAATAGTGAAACTCACAACTGTTATGTTGCTGATAAAATCCACCCTTGTTCTGAGAGGCTTTATGAAATGCTGCATGAACTCTTTCTACTGATGAAGGGAGACACTAATTTTACAGATTTTGAATATTTTATGTAATCAGTACACTGCATTGTGCCTAAGTTATGTGGTGGTGCAACGGACGGAGTGAATTCAAATATAAGAATATTTGAGATTAAAGAAAATTGACTTATTATCTTCTTTAATTCAAGCTGTCATCATCAAAATTAAGGTCAATTAACTGTCATAATATTATCATCAGGATTGCCTGTAGTCTATAAAAGTGGATCAGGCATGCAGTGTTGCTATAGACTAAATTTGTTTTGGTAGTCAAAACTGGTCGCCAAAAATGTGTTTTCTTGTAGGGTTGTTATATAACTATTTTCCCAACTTTGAAAATATTTGTAGAAATGGTGTGGTGCAACCACAGTAGTAGTAGTTGTGGTGGTGGTGATGTGATGATAGTTATGAGGTGGTTTGATGATGTGATGCGGTGATGGTGATAGGATAGTGGTAACATAGACGGTGGTAGCATTGGGAATGATAGTGAATCTTCATCTACTAAGGCCTCTTTTGTGAAGACTAAAAAAATCAAAAATTCAGTTTTTAATCTATTTTCGGTCGCATCATTCTCTTTATTTTTAATCTACTAAGGCTTCACGGTAGTAGTAGTTGTGGTGGTGGTGATGTGATGATAAAAGTCAGATAAAGAAGAGAGATAGAGAGAGAGAGACAGAGATAGAGTGATGAGCGAGAGAGAGAGATAGACAACGTGGCTGCTAAAAGTGTATTTTCTTATAGTGGATTGATAAATCGAGAAGGAGCTCGATAAATTAAATTCATCAGACTGACCTGTAACTATGCCTTTAAATATTTGCAATGTAAAACTATCGACAAACAGCCAATAACAAGTTGCCCATTTTAGCATACCTTTCGCGTGAGGGCCCAATTATTAAAGGATGTGTTCAACCATCAAATGAAAGCCGACTACTTCTTCCATCTAAAAATAATAATCTATTTTCAGAATTTAATTTCTTTTTATAATACAATTATTACATTTTAAAAATATTAATTTTTCAAAATTACCTTTTGATAGTATATTTTTTTAGACATATCAATTGTCATAATTGTACTTTTTGTATTATTAATGGATTTAAAAAAAGGACAAAATAAGAAATTCATATTATTTTAATAATTAATTTTTAAAAAAAATTTATATTTTGAGATAATAAAAAAAAAAGTTTTTAATATTTTTGGATGGTGGGTATACAACCTCTTAATAAAAAAAAATAAAAATAATTAATTTTCTTATTTTCATTCGGCTACTAAACAATTTAGTAGCCAAAAGTAGAGGTACAGCGACTAAAAGAACTTTTGTCCCTGAAACTTGACATTTGGCGACCAAAATATTGAACACCCATAAAATTATTATTCTTAATAATGTCTTTGTTAGTAATTGAATTGGATTAATTTAAAACTAACTTTTACACTATATATATTTCAGATAGACTCTGGATAAAATTAATTAATTTATTTATTTTCTTTTAAGAATAGTTAAATGTGAGTTTTCACACTAAGGACCAAAGTGAAATGAGTAGGATTGTTTCTGCTGATGACATTTGGAGGGCCATCAAGAATATTAAAGCTTTTAAGGCCCCGGGTAGGGATGGGTTCCAAGCAATTTTTTACCACACCTTTTGGAAGACTGTGGGCCAATCTGTGACCAAATTTGTCCGAAATTGTTTTTCTTCTTGTAACATTCCCCCTGCGATTAATAGAACTCTTGTAGCTCTTATCCCTAAAGTTACTAATCCTGAGAGTGTGAAACAATTCCGGCCTATCAGCTTGTGTAATGTTACTTACAAAATCATTTCTAAAATCCTTGTCAATAGAATTAGGCCTGTCTTGAATGATTTAATTAACCCTAATCAGAGTAGTTTCATTCCGGGTCACTTCACTCATGATAATATCATAATCACTCAGGAAGCTATTCATACTTTGAAAAAGAAAAAAGGGAAGGTGGGTTTCATGGTTTTTAAAATTGATCTTGAAAAGGCCTACGATGACATTTCTTGGAATTTCCTTCACCAAACTCTGAGAGAATTCCATTTTGATGAGAAATTGGTGAACCTGTTTATGAGTTGTGTCACTAGTGTGAACGCAGCTATTTTGTGGAATGGGGAACCCCTTGAAGAGTTCAAACCAGCTAAGGATTTAAGACAAGGGGATCCCCTATCCGTTTATCTTTTTGTGTTATGCATGGAACGACTCTCAGCCATGATTAGCCAGCAAGTGCAAGGTAAACAATGGATTGGGCTTAGCTTGGCTAAGGATGGTCCTAACATATCACACTTGTTTTTTGTGGATGATTTGATTTTGTTTGCTAAAGCAAACGAGCAAAACTGTAACACTATTTTGCAAGTCTTGAATGAGTTTAGTGAAATTTCGAGATTGAAGGTTAACCTTCATAAATCTCATATGTTTGTGTCTCCTAATATTGCCATAAGAAGAGCATCTCAACTTAGTAATATGTGTGGTATTCCTCTAACTTGTAATTTGGGGAAATACCTTGGGACCCCATTGCTTCATGATAGAGTGTCCAAAAATCATTTTTTGTTTATTTTGGAAAATCTGAAGAAAAAACTTGCTGGGTGGAAATCTGGGATGTTGTCCTTGGCAGGGAGAGCAACCTTGATACAATCTGTCACTAGTGCTATGCTAGCCTATTCTATGCAAACTATGGAGCTCCCAAGGAAAGTTTGTGATGAGATTGATAAGATTAATAGAAACTTTCTTTGGGGTGATAGCCTCGAGAAAAAGAAAGTGCATCTTGTTAATTGGGACTAGGTTTGTAAGTTGAAAAAAGATGGGGGTCTTGGGATCCGCAAGGCTAGAGATCAAAATCTAGCTCTTCTATCCAAATTAGGGTGGAAAATGTTAATTGGGGAGAATACTCTCTGGGTAGATGTGCTAAAAAATAAATACTAGGGTTAGCAGCCTTTCTTAATTAAGAAGTAAGGCAAAAGTATATCTCATATTTGGAAAGGCATCCTAAATACCAGGGAGCTCCTGGTTCAGGGAGTTCGATGGAAGCTTGGAAAAGGTAACAAAGTGAGAGTTTGAAAAGATTGGTGGTGTGGTGATGGGGCTTTTGAAATGGATTTGAACACACCTACCAATCAAATTCCAAATTCTGAGCATATTACCGTGGGGTCTCTTCTTGATGCACATGGTGATTGGGACTTAAATCATTTGCACAACTCTTTTCCATTACCTATGGTTGTAGCTATTTTAAAGCTACAACCACCCAGATTTAATGCTGGAGAAGACACCCCCAGATGGATTGAATCCTCTGATGGAGAGTTCTCCACACCTAGTTCATATGATTTAATTGTTGATCATCGTAATCAGGAAGGAGATAGGGGATGGATTTGGAGGTTTAAGTTTTCTCAGAAACTTAAGAGCTTCTTGTGGCTTGTTTTTCATGAAAATTCTCACCAACAGAATGAGAAACCTGAGGGGACTTACTTCTGACCCCAACTGCCCCTACTGTGCTAATGTGGAGGATATTGAACATTTGTCTTGGTTTTGTCCTCAAGCTATCCAGATATGGTGCCATGTTTATAGTGAGGAATGGTACTGCAGCAGGCTCATTTTACCTTGGAAAGATTGGATCACCCAGAATATGAAAGAGAAGAACAAAACCTCATACTTGTTCCTCATTTCCCTCTGAACTATTTGGAAAAATTGAAATAAAATGGTTTTTGAACATAAAACTAATAATATTCATGAGAGTGTTAAACTCATATCAGATTATGCTAAAGAAATCTTTCAAGCTTTTAGTTTGGATGTCACTCAACCACTTCAAGCTAAAAGTATTTCTGTGTGGTCTTGTCCAAATGCAGGAAAAATCAAACTTGACACGGATGGCAGTACTCGCAGGCATGGAGGAGGTGGCGGTTTTGGTGGATTATTTTGGGATGAAACAGGAGCATGGATTAGTGGATACTATGGAAGGCTTGAAATATGCACCTCTCTTGAAGCAGAACTTTGGACAGTCTACAAGGGGCTGACTATCATACTCCAACGAGGTTTCAATCAAGTGATAATAGAAACGGATGCGGAGCAAGTGGTGAAACTGTTGAGTGATGATCTGGGTGAAAGATGTCCTTTTTGGGGCATTGTGGAAGATGCACGTATTATCATGAGAGGATGTGACTGCTCCATCCAGCACATTCGAAGGGAAGCTAACATTTGTGCTGATGCAATGGCCAAATTAGGCGAATATCAACCGGCAGATCTTCTTATTGTAAATGAACCACTTGAAGAACTCCGCACCTTACTTGTTGCGGACATTGTGCATCTCTCTGAGGAGAGTGATAGGATGTAGTTCATGTATTGACTTTAATTTCCGATGTACCCAAAAAAAAAAAAAAAGGAATTAAAATAAATTTTAAATTAATTTGATGTAACTTTTGATAATCTTTATATATATATATAAAAATAAATTTGTTTAGTTTTTTTTTTTTCAGAAAGGCTAAATTTGTTTAGTTAAATAAGCATTTACATAATTTTTTTATTACGTAAATATTTAGAATGTTATCAAAAGTTATAATTAACACAAAATATATATGACTATTTTGTCTATATACGTTTAAGGGTTTCAAATAAGTTAAAACAATTACAAATTATAGTTTAAGAAATTGTGTTTTTTTTTTTAATATGAGGTAGAATATCAAGAAAATGAATAATAAAAAAAATAATTTTAAAATAATACAAATCTTTCTTACACAAATTCATACATGGATCATGTCTACTTACATTATTTTAAAATTTATTTTGTCTACACTCTAATTTATTTATTTCTTAATTCTCTGTAAGTTATAATAATATCAGATCTACGACGTTTTACGCGATGTTCTAAACCCTCTTATCTATCCCAACCCTTATTATCATAGTTTCGTTGTCTCTCTCTCTCTCTATGCGACGCCACAGCCTTCGGAGGCGCCGATCTCCGCCGCCGGTAAGTCCTCTCTCTCTCTCTCTCTTCCCAAATTGTGGCTTTTAGATTTTGTTTAGTGTTTCTTTCTTGTTGTAAATTGAATTTTGCTAAATCATGAAGTATCAAGATTCAATTTTATCTTTTTTTGATTTTTTTTTAATGATTTCTTCAATACTTATCTATGCTAATTTTAGCATATAAATTTTTGTTAATTATAGATGCATTAAACTTTGTGTGGATACAACAAATTAAAAAATAAAATAAAATAACTGTATTTACCCCCCAAAAACCCCCCCAAAAAAAAAAAAAAATTCATCGTATTATTTTAAATTATTCGATACCAAGAGTTGTCGTGAAAGTGAGGTAATATAATGTTTAAATTCAAATCTCACTTAGTGTTATGTCATGCAATTTTTTCTACCTTACTCCCCCTCTACCATAAGAAAAAAGTAATAAAATAAAAACCTATCATACTATCCAAAAGTGCAAAAATCACTTTAAACTTTATATAATTTAAAATTAAAATAAAGAAAAAATTAGTGAAACATCTCTATCTAACTTTTGATCGTAAGTGGTTCGATATATATATTTTTTTATTAGTTAAGATCTTTCAATAATATTATTAGAGAAATTTCAACTCGTTACAAAGAAATTTATTAAAATTTGTCTACGAAAATATTGAAGGATCCTAACTACTATGAAAATATTACATGTCATTTATTTTATAAAATTCTAATATCAGCAATTTTAAACTAAAAATCCCTAAAATAAACCTTAAATACCTCACATGTTCTTGAGCTTTCGGTCGCGAGATTCAAAACTTCATTGAAATAAAATTGAACAGTGGAACGATTTTTCCCAACAAAAAATAAATAAATAAGAAAAAATGAAGAAGAAGATGGTAATGAATTTCTGATCTATTTGGTATTATTTATAAGTTAACATTTTGTTAACTTAAAAGAATTAAAATAAATTTTAAATGAATTTGATGTAACTTTTGATAATCTTTATATATATATATATATATGACTATTTTGTCTATATACGTTAAGGGTTTCAACAATTACAAATTATAGTTTAAGAATTTTTTTCTTTTTTTTTAAATATGAGGTAGTATATCAAAAAAATGAATAATAAAAAAAATAATTTTAAAATAATGACAATACAAATCTTTCTTACATAAATTCATACATGGATCATGTCTACTTACATTATTTTAAAATTTATTTTGTCTACACTCTAATTTATTTATTTCTTAATTCTCTATAAGTTATAATAATATCAGAACTACGACGTTTTACGCGATTGTTTTAAACCTTCCCTATCTATCCCAACCCTTATCATCATAGTTTCACTGTCTCTCTCTCTCTCTCCTCTCTCTATGCGGCTCCAAAGGCACCTATCTCCGCCGGTAAGTCCTCTCTCTCTATCTCTCTCTTCCCAAATTGTAGCTTTTAGATTTTGTTTAGTGTTTCTTTTTTGTTGGAAATTGAATTTTGCTAAATTATGAAGTATCAAGATCCAATTTTATCTTTTTTTTGATTTTTTTTAATGATTTCTTCAATCCTTATCTATGCTAATTTTAGCATTTAAATTTTTTGTAATTATAGATGCATTAAACTTTGTGTGGATACAACAAATTAAAAAATAAAATAAAATAACTGTATTTAACCCCCCAAAAAAAAAAATAAATAAATAAATAAATAAATCTTATGGCCTGAAAAAAATCGAAGCTGGCCCTAGGATTGGTTACTACAATGTTAGAGGGTCACAATTTTTGTGGCCACAATAGCTCAAAACTGTCAAAACGAAATTTTGAGCCATTGTGGCTACAAAAATTGTGGCCCTTAAACATTTTCCTGGTTACTAATACCGTATCAGAAGGGAAAATGTTTGGTAGGTCAAAATTTTATGGCTCAAATGGCTCAAATCTGTCAAAACGACATCATTTTACACTCAAAATCTGTCATTATTTTGAATAATTTAAACTATTTAAGTCACAAAATTTTAAACTACCTAACATTATTATGGTATCACAAGGGTCTTGCAAGTCGTAGATCGTTAATGATCCGTAGCTCGAATATTTCGGGCTCGAATGTACCACCTTCAACAAATTGAGTCTCACTCTCGCCTCATCCCTCTCATTCACTCACTCTCGCCTCTCTCTCCTCTCTATCTCTTCACTCTCGCCTCACTCACCTGTCTCTTGAAGGAGTACGAAGGACGACGAGACGGTGGACGAACGACGTGGGAGGACGACGGAGGACGACGAACGACGACGGAGGACGGACGACAGCCTGCGACAGCGAATCTGAGGTAAACCTGAAATCGGAAAGTTTGGGTGTACGTTTGGCTTCAATTTTTGTAGAAATTAGTCGATTCAGAGTGTTTGGGGTTGGATTTTGCTTGCAATTTGTGTTAGGGTTTGGGATTTGGCTTTAATTCGTGATGTGTTAGGGTTTGGGATTTTGCTTGCAATTTGTGTTAGGGTTAGGGTTAGGGTTTTGCCTGAAATACACATCTGTGATGAGTTTGGTCATGCAAAATATACCTCTTATCAAGAATGAACTCTGTTATCAAGATGAACCTGGTTAACATGGGTTTTTTTGGAAAAAAATAAAAAAATAGCCTGTCCGTTTGGAAAGAATTTTTTGGTTTTTGGCTTTTTTGCGACAGAAAAAGTACAATGATTATAATTGGGACTTAATATTTTGTCTTATTAACTTATTTAGCTTATTTTATTTTATTTTTTGTACTTTTTTTAGTCCTAACCCAAACCCAAATCACTTGCCAAACCGCAGCATAGCTGATAGAGAGCTGAAAAGTTGATTAGTACATATGTTTGTTTGTTTGATTTTAATGATTTTGTTATGATATAGGTCTTTACAATTGCCTCAAAATGATTCTAAATGGGTGCTCCTTGGTTTCGGGGAGTGCAATAAGCAACTCAAAGTCCTATTACTCGGCTTCTACAAGCATCCATCGTTTGCCTAGCAAAGTTTCATTTTCTGGCATTAAGATTTCATGGGGACCTTATCAAGAACTAAAATTACGGTCTTCCAAAGGTATGTAAATGCCGTTGTCCAGTTGTTGCTTGTGCGGTATTCATTGAGGCCACATTTTTTGAAAATCAACAAAAAGGAGTTATATACTTGGAATGGTTTGTGATGATGTGTGGAAGTGTATATGGCTTTTTCTCGTCTTAAATGTTATTTCATTGATGAAGAAATTGAGTGCTACCACTCTATACTTATGGAGCATAGACAGCCACGACACATCATGGACACCTCGACATAGCAAATTCTAAAAAAGTATGAAATGGATATGGTTTGAACACACCCCAAATAATTATATCTTGATATTATAAATAAGTTATATTATATAGTTATATATGTGTATAATATGTACAAATTTGAATAATTATTTTGTACTAAATAAATCTTGTATCTAATTGTCTTACGTAAATTTTTAGACTACATAACCATTGTAGTTAAAAATCAAAGAAACTATAGTGAACATATATAATTGTGACATTTTCTTCATTCTCCTAAGCCATCTGCTAATGTATTCACATGTCTTTTCATTTTTCATTTAATTTTATGTGAAATTTCTGTAGGATATTCTCAATAATTATATATTTTTCAAGGGTATGAGAAGTTTGTATCAAATTCTTATGCTTAGAAAATCATACATTAGCAAATGGCCAAGAAGTGACGGGCGCATCGCAAAATGAGTGTTGAACACGTGTCTGAAATTAAGATTTTTTTTTTTAAGCTATGGACTAGGAAAAAAGAGCATCGGATGTGACAAAAGAGTGGCGGTGTCTGACAATAGTCCAACATGGACACGTCACATTCTTAGAAGTGTCCATTCTTCTTAACTCTATACTAACCCTACAGCTACCCCTTATGTGAAAATGGTGTTCAGGCTGTTAATTTGAACTTCAAGACCTTGGAATGGGATCCAAGAGAACTGACTACCAGAACTAAGTGACATCTTCCTCATTTCCTTAGATTAGTCTTGAGGGAGATTCAAAGTGAGAACCCGTAATCTAATTAGGTCTGGCCTGCTTTATGCATCCAAATTATGAGTCATCAAGGCTTGAGATTATTTTGGTACACCAGTTCTTAGGAATTGTCCATCTATCTATCCATCCATCTGTCTATCTATCCATCTATATACATACATAATTCATGTGTAGCTAGGATGTGGCATATTGTTAATTTCAATAATCAGGTTGAATGTCATCATCAATCTTTTTGGTCAATGCAAATAAAATTATAAAATGTCTACAAATAACCATTATACGAGTCTTTCTCCATGAACAAGAAAATTCTAAAAAATAATAGACCGATATGCCTCATTCCTAAGCACCAAGTTCGTTCTTGTCAATTTTGTTTTTTTCCTTTATATACTTTGTGTGCATCATTTTTAATTTCATATGGCAGAAAGTACTCTTCTGCATCTTGCCGCTGCATCAACATCTCTTTTAAGTGGCGAACAAGGTAGCTTATCGCATACAATACCCATGCTACCTAGGCGGCAACGATCTCTTAAAGCCCCAAGAGCATCCAAGGATGTCCCATACAGTTTCCGATACCCTGCAATGACCAAGAAGCCAAGATGGTGGTGGAGAACTCTAGCATGCCTCCCATATTTAATGCCACTCCATGAGACATGGATGTATGCTGAAACGGCATATCATCTCCACCCATTCTTGGAAGACTTCGAATTCTTGACATACCCATTTTTGGGAGCTATTGGGAGATTACCAAGCTGGTTCTTAATGGCATATTTCTTCGTGGCATACCTTGGCGTGGTGAGGAAAAAGGAATGGCCCCATTTTTTTAGGTTTCATGTGGTGATGGGCATGCTGTTGGAGATTGCGTTGCAGGTTATAGGGACTGTGAGCCGTTGGATGCCACTTGCTGTTTACTGGGGTAAGATTGGTATGCATTTTTGGACCGCTGTTGCATTTGCTTACCTCTTCACAGTACTGGAGTGCATGAGGTGTGCCCTATCTGGGATGTATGCCGATATCCCATTTGTGTGTGATGCAGCATATATTCAAATACCATATGATTAAGGAACATGTATGTGATTCAGATTTGGCTCTGCTTTTGGGATTTGTTTTTTTTTGCTATGCTATTATCTATGACATTTCTATGCCTTTTGTAGTTCGGCCACTCCCAAGAGTTTTATGAATTTTCAGACTCTGTGTTTAAATTTTCAGTCTGGTTAACAGCAAGGATAACAAACTTCAAAATTTTCTCAACTCATTTGAAGATTGTACTCGAGTTGCAAACTAAATCTATTGTAGCCTTTGGGGTTATTTTTTTATGCTGAAGTAAGAGGTCCATTTGGGAAGAGCTATTTTAGCAAAAAGTCAAATAAAAAAAAGTTGAAAAGCCAACAAAATTACTTCTTATAAAAATTAAAATTAAAAATAAAAATAAAACCTAAATATATTATTTTTTTATTCTCATACTTTAATTAAAAAGCCACTTCACATATTCTAAATCCAGCCATACCCATGCAAGTCCTCTCATAATAACTACTCTCACCAAGATTGTTTAAATCGAAATCTAGATAAGATATCGAAGTGTAGAATCGGATAAAGAATCGTAATAAATATTTTATTTTCAATGTAAAAAATAGATGAAAAATTATCCATAATATATCTTCAATAATTTTAAAATATAATGCATTTTTAATGTTAACATAAATTAGATGAGATATTTAGTAGAAAAGTTTATAATCAAATTTCTTATATAATTATATACATATATATATATATATAAAATAAATAATAGTAAAAAAATTAATAAGATCGGATTGATAATAGAATTGAGATCGTAATATTATTCTACTCAATTTTATTACTTAATTTTATGAGTAAATCGTGGTCACTTTAAAATCTTATTAAAATCATAGTGTGATCTAAATCATTTCCCCCAACCATGCTACGATCCAGATCGAGATTTTGATAACCATGACACCCAACCCACTGATCTAGGAAATTTTAAAAAAACACAAATAAATAAATAAGAGAATAAATTCTGCTAGAATGAAAGAGAGAACTATTAAGGAAATGGTAAAAACCCATAAATCAACAACTGCAAGAAAACAAAACCATGAATAATAAACAACAACTGTGACAACAAATAAACACTAACCACAACATAGCCTACCATCCACTTGCCCACTTGAAACAAAAATATACTGTACATATCTCAGCCATGGTTTTAAATATCAGCAGTTACCTATTGTATCAGCCGATCCGTAATGAGATTTTGAGCTTTCGACATTCACAAATATATTAGTTGATACCATCCAATATCAGCCAATATATGATCATATCACTGATACTGACACATTTCAATACCATTACTTAAAACCATGATCTCTGCCTCATAAGCCCCTTGCCTTTCCCATCCAACTTTCCAGGGGTTCAAAATTTCTCACACGATCAACTGACCATTACTCGAGAACTGCAACCTCTTGATCAACTCTCCAATAGTTCGTGTCATTGAACTCTTTTACCCCTGATCCACTCTCATCGACGTTCACCTTCTCTGGCTTCTTGGGGATAACGTTCCTCTTCATTGGTCCAGCTTCCCCAACAATCCCCTCCTTCAGTGCCTGTTCCATTGCCTTTTCAGTGCCCTCTAATTCCACCCCAACAAATTCAACGTCCTCTTCGAACAAAGACGGTACTGTCGCAGCTCTCTGACTTGTATCAGATCCCACAGGTCTATCATCCAAGTCCATGGCAATTGCCGTGCCATTAGGTATGATTTCACCACTTGATGGAGAACTAACATGCAATGCTTCTGTCTCAACGCTAGAGTCGGCTGGATCTTCAAATGGATTCACACTTGATCCTCGAACATGAAAATCCAATGAATCCCCCCATCCCACCCATTCAGGTATAGGCCTGTCTTCAAATAGGTCCTCATTTTCTGGCGTCTCAAATCGGAAGAAACCCATATCACCAGAAGCACTTGCCTTGTCATTGTCCAGGACCAGGTCTTCCCTATTTATGGAATTGTTTCCAGCAAATCCGTTCAAGACATTTGAGGTGGAACTCAATGTACCAACATTGGCAGAACTTTTGTTTTCAGCTGGCAACAACTCATCTTCTCCAACCACCACCTCATCATCACTACTGCTGTTACCATTACTTGATGTTCCATTCAAGTTGATCTCATCCATTGTATCATTAGTGGGGGATGTCCTCAGAGTTGCATCGCCAATTCTGTTGTCTTGGAAAGCAAACCAGTTGGAATTCGTGAACAAACTGCAGCAACGTAGGGAATAAAACTGTTATGTCAATACCAATAATAGGTGTCATCTCACAAGTGTGACTGTGACTGACTGTGACAGACTGAGACATGCTGAATGTATTGATATAAAGCCATTCATTTCCTGTTTCAACAGGTAGGTGTCAGAAACCAGCCAGCTTAAAAAATGCTTAAATTTTGCCAACCGCTTAAATTTTGCCAACCTCTGTGGTCAAAACACATTTTTCACTTAAAAACACTTAAACAGATAGGGTCCCTGGAGCTGAATAAATATTTTGAACTCATCTATCAGTTCATAGGTTTGGTTTTTTTTTATGTACTCCTACATTTTTTCCTCCCTTATATAATTTTTTCTAGGTATTCAAGACATCAAAGACAACATGAATGCACATTTTCAAGCTGACATTCAATCTCTGTCCGACTGTGGGAAGATATGGCAGACGGTTTGCAAAGAATGCAGAAGAGAATTCATGACAATATTCCTCAAAATCTTGGGCAACATGTAATCCACTATGACTGGTAAGAACAACCAATAGAGGAAATTATGCAAACAACTATCCTGTTTGCAAGCTAAGAACAAATCAACTAATTGAGGCTCCATTCCTCGATACAAAGTCCATACCAAAAGAAAAAACTCACCTCCCCTGGTCATCGCCTAGCCTGAGAGACGATATCACAACTTCAGCAGACTCATCATCAAAGTAGACATCCTGCATTTTCGTAAATGAAAATAAGTCACCTCAGTCTAATATACAGAAGGACAGCTGAAAGAGTTCTTATGCAAAGTATGCTGCCTCCAATTCAATAATGCAGATTCATATTAACCAGCCTTCAGTTTATTTTCAATTGAATCAGAGGGAGAAAAGACCATAGATTTGAAAGGGTGGAGAAAAAAAAAAGAAAAGAAAAAACTATTACCTCATCAACTCGATCAAGAGCCCCATTGCCCTGCAACCAATGGCAAGGATAAATTTATAGTATCTAACGAGTCTGTCAACAAAAAGAAAGGCATTGTAATAAAAACATACAATAGAGTCCACTAATACCTCCTCAGCATCCTCATTATCATACATCGAGTATCTAAATGCTTGGCTAAGATTATTTGCTAAAGCTGCTACATCAAAATCTCTGTCATGAAGATCATCCTCATCACTATCCCTTGTCCTATCTTGCAATGCAGTTGGGCGCCTGTACATCAAAAAGAAAGAAAATAAATAATTATCAGGAAGTAAAACAGGCCAACAAATATTGGGAGCAGGCTACAAAAGGGAACAAACAAAGTAAATGCAACGATGGTGGGGATTTTTTTAGTTTAGTAATGTGGGATATCAGAATTTTACTACTGAATCTTGCCAATAGCCATGTCCCCTTCCCTCTTATCCTATTTTTATGATAAAGTGCAATGAACCTCAAATATTTTGGATGCAAAAAGTAGCAACCAGATGAGCTGAGTTTCATCAGAGCAACAAGCATCATCCTGTACTGTGCACTGACATCCTAATCACACTATGCATTAAAGCACAACCATAAGCATACCCGCAAGCCCATCTGTAGACATTTTCCACAATATTACGCTCCTGTAAAACAGTAGTTTGCCAATCATTCCATTCGCTATTTTCCTGGAAAGCACAAGTTAGATTTTATCTCAGTTGAGAGATATGTCCTCCATTCAACAGAACAAACAAAAATATACTTGCTCAGTTTAGCCAACATAAGAAAATTCAATCTCTCTATCATACCAATGTTAGATTCAAGATACAGGAGAACCACTTCAAGCAGGCTTTTACAAGAACCAATTGTAATGAAAAGAAGGAAATTGAGACCTTATCAAGTAAGTCATACTTAATTGACAATCAACAATAATCATTTGGATATTAATATACCCCTGTTATAGTCGCATTAGGAGGGAGTAAAAAATCAAGATGATGAACATATGAATTTTGTGATCATGTAGCTTACAGAAAATTGATGTCTTCCAGGGTCGTCAGTATCATCTAGATATGAAGATGTATCACACAATACGATCCAGATCCATGGCATTTCAATATGTATCTTTCTCACATATTGTAGGTACAACTACATTGCTACTACGGTGATCATGATCCTGATATACACTCAGATCGTGCATACACAGCAGAGTTAGGGTATTGTAGCAAACCATTTCTTTAACAATTCTATTCTGTTAGCAAATACAGCCCCTCATAAATTCACAAACTTCATTAACAAGCAATTGCGTTGCAATATTAACTGCTGCCCTGCATTACATTAAATCTATTTATAAAATTTAAAGATGTACACAAGAAACTTCATGTTCCATCATGACTTGAATTGGAATTTATGTCCTGAAGAAAGCTACCAATAATTTTGGCTTGTTTAGAGAATGAAAAAATGCTAATTTCATGATAACATAAGAAAAGGAGTGCTTGAATACGATCAAAATTTAAGATGATTAGTCATTAAATGCCCTAACATGATTAACTTTTAAACAGCCTTTCCAAGAGAAAAGAATCTGCTGAAATTGATTTTTCCCAATTTGTTAACCAAAAATAACTATCCATCAAACTATCTGTATAATACCTTAGTGCTCTTCTCAAAATTCAAATCTCAGAAAAAAATGTCAAAACATAAAAGAATTTGTTATAATAAGTCAAAACTCAAATAAAGGTATATAAAACATAACTTGTCCAGCCTGTCACCCACCTGAAGAAATGCCTGAATAAATTTGTCGCTGTTTCCAAGTTGAACAAGCTTATTAGATATCCGTGTAATGTGCCCTAGGTTTCCTGCCCGTGGTGTCCATTTCCCAGCAGCAGGTAAAGTTGGCTGCATAATTAATTAAGATATTCACAATATCACAGATGCAATCTCAAGGAAGCAATTTTTTGAGTATGATACTAAACAGATGCTATCACATAAACTGAAAGAACTTCCTAGGAAATTTATCCATTTCATATCATATAAAAAATAGACAATTGAAGTTGAATGTTTGTTTGGAGTTTTCTGTCTCAAGTTAATTATAATCACCACTGGATAAGAAGGATTAAGAGAACCAGCATTGTGTGACACATACAACTCTACAGGAAAATACTACCAAAGAATGGACCCTCTTCACTAGAAGAATGCTTCTATCTACCTGATTTAGGTCACTCAAAAGAATGGGATGTTTATCTGACTGGAGAATTTTTCCAATCAAACTACACTCTTGGAGAAGATGATCAACAATTGTACTATTCTTGCTCTCCAAGCATGAAAGTATAATACTCTCCACATGATGATGCAATGAATTATTGAATGGGTACCTGCATCAATCAAAATAATACTAATGTAAACAATATGTATGTTTGGTGAAAATTAGGAAAAATGTCATGACATTTCAATCAAGAAAAGGCCAAGTCTTTTTTGATCCATCAACGTTTTCGACTCACAACCATTCATAATCACAAAAAGAAGCAATAACACTTACTCAAAGAAGAGATCAAGGATTCTCTGAATTGTCCCTGAGCTGACCAATTCCTTCTCGGCAACTTCATTGCCAGTTTTCATTAGCACAGCAATGAACTCCACAATCTGAAAGGTAATGTAAAACTTTAGAATAAGAGCAGGAGAGTCAAAAGAATGAATTATTCAAAAAAAGAAAGAACATTGAGAGTTAAAAATGATAAAGTCTTCTAGAAGTGCAAAACAAATACAAGTCAGCGAAAATCATCATCTACTGAGCCTGGACCAATTTTGAACACTCCAGAGTCCAGACGAATTATTAAACCATGACAGTGGGATTTAGTAATTCAAGAGCAAAGTCTGTTAATTTAATTTTGAGATGAGTTCCATAAATATCGTCATCTCATCATTATGTTAGTTTCAGAGACAAATGTACACCTATAAGTGGAAAAGATATAAAATTATAACTGGTATTGTTGGAAGAGGAACCAACCTTGAGACGATGCTTCCCGAGAGGAGGCCTCAATTCACCATATGTTGTAGGTAAAATCTTCTCGTCAGATGAAACATTCAACAGCATCAGCAAATCACCTGCATGCCAGATGCACAATGCTTATGACCACTGCTGAGTAAAGCAACAAATAAAATAATTTGTCACTGCACGCCAAACTACCAAATCATGCACACAGTGGTTTCAATGCACTTGAAAGCAGCAGTATGGGGGATTCAATTCTACCAGTGCCCATTGCAACAATTAAGAAGTAGAATCATTTTCCATTGAATTTAAGTAGGTCATACAATCTCCACAGCTACCAAGCATCAGGATTGATACCATGTGCCACCAAAAAAAACAAATACCATTGATGAGCAAGAGGTCAATAACTAGCAGCATTTAAATGTGCTTAAATGAGTATTTTTTTCAATGCCTCATACGAAGCTAAGTAACCGATTCGTGATGCAGGAGCGGGAGTGCGAGAGTGCCATTCTTTAAAATATCCAAAGAGTGGGAGCACCTCCAGATTGTCTATGTACACACAAATACACATTCATATATGTGCTATACACAATATCAAGTTTTTATAATTTTTCTTGAATTAATGTTTTCATAAAAGTGACTACAATCAGTATTGAAATGTAATTTGTATATGTTAATGTTATAAATTCAGGATAACGTGCCATGGTGTATACTTTTTGCAAATGATATTGTGTTAGTGGATGAGACTAGAGAAGGAGTTAACACAAAGTTGGAGATTTGGAGAAAAACACTTGAATCTAAAGGATTCCGAATAAGCAAAACTAAGACAGAGTCCATGGAGTTTAAATTTAGTAAAAGTAACAATGCAAGCAGAGGAGAAGTGAAAATTGAGAACCAATAACTGTTTAAGAGTGAACATTTTCGTTATTTAGGATCGATGATCACAATGGCGGGGGAGATTGATGCGGATGTGTCCCATAGGGTTCAAGCGGGATGGCTTGAGTGCAGAAGTGCGTTTGGGATACTGTGCGATAAACAAATACCCACTAAACTAAAAGATAAGTTTCATAGAACGGCTATTAAACCAGCGATATTTTATGGGACGGAGTGTTGGGCAACCAAGAAACAACATGTAGATAAGATGAGTGTTGCTGAGATGAAGATGCTAAAGTAGATATATAGCAAGACTAGACAAGACAGAATTAGGAATGAGTGTATTCGGGAATGGGTAGAAATAGCACCGCTAGAAGATAAGTTGAGAAAGAATTGATTAAGATGGTTTGGTCATATTCAACGGAAACCAATAGAGGCAATAGTGAAGTGATGCGATACAGTGACGGTAAATGGTAGTGTTAGGAGACTAGGCAGACCTAAATTAACGTTGGCTAGCATTATAAATAGAGATATACATCTACTTAATTTGACTAACGAAATGGCATTTGATAGAGCTACGTGGAGAAGAAGGATGTATGTAACTGACCCCATTTGATGGGACTTAGGACTTAAGGCTTAGTTTGGTTTGGTTTGGTAATGTTATAATAAATAAAAAACATCAACCATTCAGATAAGAATTATGAAGTAGCCTAGTGGCAATGTTATTTTTCTTTCCCTCAAAGTTACACATTCAATCCTCAGCAGGAGCAGCTTTCCATTCATTCTGCGAGTGATCAGCAGCTTCCATTTGTTCCGCGGGAGTGATGTGGCGAGATTTATCACTACGTAGCGGTCACCAATTGATTGAAACAGAATTCGTTTGTTAATTCTAGAATTTAACCAAATAAATTTGTGATTTTGACCCTTTTTCTGTACAATTCGCCAATTCACGAACTGATCCTCCTCACCTGCACGAATTAAGTGGCCTAAATCCAAAATGACTTAATTTAAAAGGGTTGTAGCAAAAGAGTAAAAAGAGCTCATCTTCCAGATTTGGTGTTTGGAGGTGTTGTAGAAGGTAGGTTGCGGGTGAGCGGGTTGGATCAGTAATCCGCAAGGCCCAATTATTTCATGTTTGTGTCAACAAAGGGAGGCAGATAAATAATTTGTTTTGGACAAATTATCCCATAAACGAAGCAAAGTAATCTCAAATGCACTTGTGACATGCAAATAAGCATCTAATTTGTGCACATACCATTGCCATAATTAATATTCTACGTATTCAATGTAGGTAGAGAATATAAATCTAACTGAAGAAGTTAACAAAACTGACATCACAAGAAATACAGGCAAATTAAATTACATACTTACCAAGCTTGGGCAGCATTGCACCAACAGTATCGGGATTAGCAGGGGACAATGACTCGTACATCTGTTGACTTCGGATGGAATAAAACAAGGAAGAAGGAATTGATCGTTTTGGATCTAACAAAGAAATACACACAGAGAATGAGTAGACAAGAGCTGATTTTGAATTTGAGTCTTCCAGCGCATGACCAAATATCCTTCCGACAAAACTGCATATAAACAAAAAAAAATATCAAAACCATTTGAAAGGCCTATATTAAACAAAGCAAACTAGAGAGCAAAAATTAATTCTAATGAAATAAAAAACTAAAACCCTACAAACCTTGGGCTAGAAAGTTTAGCAGCAAGAGCTGACGACGCATTACGAGTTATAGCACATAAAGTTTCTGCTGCGTTAGCATGGACTTCAGGAGAACTCTGTTCCATTTTAAGAAACTAATCACATGAATTGTTGTAAAACATGTAAAACCTAATGAACTGAAAATTACACTTCACGCACAAAAACTATACTGAGCAACCATTTCAACACAAATGCCAAAAGCAAACAATCAGGGTGATAAAAATTGTAACTACATCTTCATGCCAAAACAAGGCTACAACATCATAAACATATTTGTGGATAAGTGGTGGACAAGAAAGCCACAAAAGGAGTCAACATAACATGTACTAAAATCAACTTGAAAAATGGTTTCCAATATTCACATTGCACAATTTCAGAACCATCAAAGAGCCATGGCAATCTTACAAACACACTTCTAGAGGAACATTTCTTGGCTTCCCACTCAATCCAAGGAAGATGAGGCATTAAAGCTCCTTTTTTTATATTAGCAAAAATATCATAAACTATCAAAAGAACCTTTAGGAAGCAAACCCTGCACACTCAAGAAGGCCAAAGCCCAGGCACTAAATATCCACAGGCATGTAAAAATCACCTATAAACTACAGGAATGACAAAATCAAAAAGGCTCAAATATATATATATATGCATAAAGGCTCCTTCCTTCGCCAACGGCAGGCAAAACATGCAATAATATTCAAATCAGAAACTGTCTTAGAAATTCATTATTCATTTGATAACACTAAAGGCAATGAATTGCGAGGTATCAAAAAATATAAATGAAGGAGACTGATGCTATACTGCGACCAGATACATAAATTTGAATGAGTTCAAACTTGTAAAAATGACCCATTAGCTACAGAGAATAATTTTACCTAAAATATAAACTACTATTTCAACTTTTTCACTTACAGATGGACTCAGTTTATCCACAATCATTTCTAGTAAATCGCTATTAGCTAACCACTGCATCACATCCAGAGAATTGGGATAAAAATGGTCATCAGCACCTACAAGTCGAATCAAAACCTGTGGTGAAGAGATCATTAGTAGAGAGGATTGCAAATGCAAATCAAAATTCCAATCCATATAAAATCCAATCAAGTACAATTCACAAATTCTATGCAAGATCTTAAAGAGAGCAAACCAGAAATTGTTTACACCAAATCTTTGTTTCTAACCTCCATGATGGAAGTGATACCAATCAAATCAACCAATTGGTGAAACACATCCTGATGGGCCTGTAGAAAACCAGTGAAGATATGAATTAAAAGAAGTTCAAGGAATACAACAAAAAATGAATATAGACAGTTATAAAAAGCATTCATGGCCAGTAAAAACTACGACTACCATTTCATTGTGACATGAATATATGCTCTTGGCATGCAAAAGTTACACTCAAACTCAACTCTTTACTTAGAAGACCTTAGAGCTAGGAACTGAGCGATGGTGCCGGCGGCAGGGGTGGTGGCCAGTGGAGATGGTGGTGAAGGGGTGGGTGGATTGAAAAGCTAGGGTTTAGTTGATTTTGAGTTTTGAGTAGCTTTAGGTAATATTTTAGATGAGGGTAGGATTGTAATAAATAAATAAATGAATGAAAATAGTGTGTGTAGTGAGATAAAAGTGTGGTGCAAGTACAATTACCCATTCCCTCATTTCGGACAAGTCAAATTCAATGAGAAGCTTATTTTGTGATATTTCAAATCGTGACTTCCCAAGCATATGAAACATTATGCCAGAGAAATAAGACAACATTATTGAGCAAACATGGCATACATTACAAGCCTGCCTTTGGTAAGCTCACCTTGACACATGCCCATTATCAACCTGATGCAAGCATCCATGTATTTGTATCATAGCTGGTAAGATATTCTATGGAACCCTAGCACAACAATTTGGACGGTAAAGAATGTAATTCTTGTATTGAGTTGAGACACCTTCGAGTTGAGAGAATAAACAAGGGGTAAATTACATCAACTCAGTGGTATTGTGATAATGCCTAAATTACAAATGAATAGCAATTTTGAGTCAGTAATCTCTACAAACCATCAAATTGCATCAATAAAGTCGTCGTAGATGGGAAATATCATCCATTCTAGAGCTTGCGATAGAGTGTGCAGATATCAAAAATAGATCTCAACATCCAATAGCACCCATTAATGGAAAAAGGCAACACAAATTAGTATGACTGAAGAGAGAATTCCTAAAATGTGCAATGGAAGAGGAAATCAAATTCTGGATGTGTACCCCCCCCCCCCCGAAAAAACCCCCCCCCAACCAAAAAAAGGCCACAAATATAATTTGAAGGGTTTACTTACTTGAACATAATTCATAAGTGGAACCGTCTTCCGCATCATCAGGCATATAACAACCTGCAGTGACATGACAAGTAAAATAAAGCTACTGGCTTTATCCAATACACAAATTGGACACAAACATCGGCCAAGAAATATGACATGAGGTGAATTTAACATAACCAAATTATACCTTGCTGAAATACCCAGCCAGCAAAGCACTATGTGTACGATTTGGTTCCAAAAAGGAGAAAAGTAAATTCATTAGCTGCAATGAGACAAGCATACAACATTAGAATACTAAACTGGTACGATTAATGTCAGAACTAGTTATGAAGTGCAATTGCTTGTTTACAATAATTAAGCAGGTACCTCTACTTCCTCAACTAAGGTCTTCAAAATGACATCAATTTCACATGTAAATATCTCACATGAGATGAAAGGAAACCTATATAATGAAATAAATTCAAGAAGCAATTAATATATTTACCTTGAGACAATTACAGCATGAACATTCCAGTATATATATAAATATATATATATAGAGAGAGAGAGAGAGACAACAATTTATTTTTCCATTTCGATTAAGGCACAATAACGTACTTGAAGGTTCGTTTGCTTTCAGCATCCTCTGGAGGCTCTTCAACAATATACCGCAGTAACTGCTCCACTTGGGCTCTGTCTCGCAAACTGGGAAAATATTTATTTTATAAGTATCTTGAAGAATCAACTTATGCATTACTAAGAAAAATCAACACACTCTATCAAGTACAGACTTCCAAGGATCAAAAGGCTCTGATTTGTTTCATAATTATTTTACAACTATAAATCAGTGGAAAAAACAAGATGACAGCCAAAAGTAAGTGACCTATCAAAATGTATTCACTTATAATATAAGATCATGCGAAACCAAAGTTATACAGAGTAAATAAATTACAAATTAATGAGACGGCTGTTTAAACCCTTGCATTCTTGGATTATCTCTTCTTCATCCAGAAGCTCTTCCAATGTGAAATTTTCCTTGTCTAATATTGACTCGACCTGAACGAAAAACCATGAACAACGGAAAATAAAGATCAACCAGTTAGGAAAGCCAACAACCACCAAATGCTGAGTTTAATGAACCATCAATTTTCAAACACTGAAACACCAACTATCAGGACCAAAAAATTCACTTTATCAATAACCTATCATATATAGACATATGTAGAGTAAACCAATTGTTTTTAGTGCATCATATCGCAATTCTCAGCAACGAGACAACTAACACAATTACACAAATAAATAAATAAATAAAATTAATCGAAAAATTTTAAGCTTCAACTATGCTTACAATCCAATTGAATTGCACAAAACAAAACCGAAGCAACAAATGCAAAGAACGAGTGGCATTAGCATTTGGAGCTGGGGAATCACTTACCGGTGAAGAAGCAGAGAGACCTGTGAATTTCCAAAACATACTGAATATATATATATATATATACACAGGCGTCGAGGCGAGAACTTCAAGCGAGAGTGGTTTAGATCTGTAAACCCTAAGTTGAATGAAAAAAGAGAAGGGAGAGAGACCGAGATTCAAAAGTAGGGCTCAGAAGCTGAGATGATTATGGAGTTTTTGGAGGAGAAGAGAGTAAAAACCCTAATTTTGCAGAGATATGAAAAGCATGCGAGGCCGTGAAGATCGAGAGAGAGAGGTGTGGTGATCGGAAAAGGGCGCCGAAAGTACAAAATGGCGTACTGTCTGTCCGGATCTCACGCAACAACAAAAAAAAATAAAAAATATTTGTTTGGTACCTCACATTTGTGTAGCTTAAATAGTTGGAATGTATCAAAATGATATCATTTTACTTGTTTTTATTTTTTTTTAAATATTTTTTAGAAAATTTTACTTTCTTATTTTTCGTGTTTTTTTTGTTTTTATTAATTTTTTTTAATGTTTTAAGTAATTTTTTTTATTTTTTAGACACACCTAACATAGTAAACAAATTGTAAAAAAAATCTTTTAAAAATTCACTAAATACTAAAAAATACAAGAATTCAGTATATTTTTTATATTTTTATGTATTTATTAATTTTTTAAAATATTTTTTCACAAATTTTTTACTTTTTAGATATATCTAAGTAAGGTGCATCTAAAAAAGTAAAAAAAAAATATTTAAAATTTAAAAAATATTCACTAAAAACAAAAAAATACAAAAATCAAAAAAATTAATTTTCAAAAAATTTAATCTAGAAAACTCAAACCAAACACACTGAATGTTATTTTTAGATATGTAAGTCATTTCAACTATGAAAATTCAACCTACCAAGTATTGTTGTAACCAAAAATGGAGTATTAGTTTGGTTTAGTTTTAGGAAAATTTACCCATAAGTCCTAGTTTTTGAAACGTTGAACCATTTAATCCTAAAAGTTTTCTTATGCTCCATTTAGTCCCATTTTTACATCAACATGATGTGAATGATGTAAATGATCTGATGTTTCATTCTATAATTTCAAAATTTCTTGAAATCTGATGAACATTAGATGTTTTTCATCCTATATTTTCAAACATTATTGAAATTTGATGAACATTAGATGTTTGAAATCCAATGTTTGTAACATGACTCTGATGTTATTAACATTGTATCTGATGTTATTAACATTGTAATGGGACCTTTCAGTCTATGAGAAAACTTTTAGGACTAAACAGTGCATAAGTTATTAATTTGGGATTTATTGGTGCATCTTTTATAATCATAATTTTAAGCCTCATTTAAGAACATAGTATTTTAGTAATTTTTTAAATTTTTATTAAAAGATATGTAAAAAATAGATAAAATGATGTGACAATTTATAATTATTTTTTAATTTTTTAAATAAAATATATAATTAGCAAACAGCCTGAAAACCACTCATGCAAAAACTTTCATTCATCTTTCATAATTAGTCTACATAAGATTTGAAGACATACCACCGAAGGCATATGTAATAATACTTATTTTTTCAAAAAAATAAAAAATATTTTCTAAAAAAAATTAAAAAATATAAAAAAAAATTTAAAGAACAAAATAAAAAAAAATTGATTTTTTTAAATAAAGTTTTGAAAGAGTTTTGAATCGAGTGTTTGGTTATAAATTTTGAATTTTTTAAAAAAAAATTTTGATTGGACTCGTAATTTCAAAACTTAATCAAACACTACTATATATTTGTCATGTATAAAGTGTATTTTTAAAAAGTAATTACAAAAATATTGAAAATGTTATGTTGTTAATTATTATAATAGATCAAGGGATTGTTTGGGAATAGGTTATTAGTATATATTTTGCTTTTTATGAAAGGGCATTGTTTAGGAAGGGCAAAATTACTCAATCTAATTATATTTGTTCTAATCTAATTTTAATATATATAAAAAAAAGTTTAAGACAGCATTGATAAAGGCTTGTTTTGGCAACACAGTTAAAAGTCAGGTTTTAATTTTTAACTCATTTTAGGTCATATCACCTCTCATATATTTTTACTCATAAAAAGACAAAATAATAAAAAAAAAAGTGTCAAAAAACCAGCTTTTAACCAATTCCCTAAAACACCCCAAAGCAAGGTAAACTCTATGGGTGTGTTTGATTGGGGGGATAAAGGGGGGACTATTCACTATTTGGACTCCATGTCCGGCCTCCCTCCTTATCCGTCGTTTGATTTTTTTTTAGTCCGGCGGACTCCATGTCCCCCATATGGGGGACCATCCTGTCCTGGGGGGTGGGATTGTTTTGGGGGGACTAATCACTGTTTGGATTAGATGCGAAAATGACAATTTTGACCCTCTATTATTTAATTATGTATTATATTTAATAAAATTTAATAAAATTTAAATGTCTCAATTTAAAAATAAAATAATTTTATTTAACTTTTTATTAATGTTTTATTTATTTAATTTTTTAAAATAATTTTTTATAGATATTTTATTGATGTTTTATTTTAAAATTTTGTTTATGTTTTATTTACTTTCATTATTTAAATTTAATAGATGTTTTATTTAAACAATTAAATGTTTAATTTCAACAATAAATAATTTCATTTATTTAAATTATGTTTTATTTAAACATTTAAACATTTCTACATCAACATGTTTATTAAATTATTTCAACATCTGTACATCAACATGTATATTTATTTAACATCTATTAAGCCTCCGTTTGGGAAGTGGGTTGGCTTTTTAGCTTTTTTGACTATTTTAGCCTGGGCTTAAAAGCTTGGTTTGGGAAGGCCTTTTTGGTTTTTTTGAGTTTTTTTGTGAGAGAAGAATGTAATGATTATGAGTTGGATGTGATGTTTTGTTTGTTATGGCTAAAATAGCCTATTTTGTTTTTTGTGGCTAAAATAGCCAAAAAAGCCTGCAAACCCACTTGCCAAACACAGGCTAAATTATGTTTTAATACGTCAACATTTGATTACATCTACATTTGTTAATTGTTAATTACATCAACATTTGTTAATTGTTTAAACATAATCTGTACATCAACATTTATTTAATTGTTAATTGTTAATTGTTTAAACATAATCTGTACATCAAAATAATTTCAATGTTAATTGTTTAAATAAAAATTTAAACTTAACCATTAGTATGTTTAGTTTCAACAATAATTTTTTATTTGTTTAAATAAAAATAATCTGTACCAGTCAATTTTTTATCAATATTAGTATGTTTAAATAACTTTAAACAAAATTTAACCATTAGTATGTTTAATGTTTACTAAAAATAATTAAAATATTAAAAATACGTTTAATATTGCTATTATTTAGTAAACAATTGAAAAGGGTAAAATAGTCATTTGTTCATTTATCCTATCCAGTCCGTCCAACCAAACGTTGGATTCACTGAAAATAGTCCTATCCAGACATCTAATCCCATGAAAAAACAAACACAGGATACATATCCAATCCGACCAAATAGTCCGGGGGATTCACAGTCCCAGGACTCAAGTCCGATGGATTCTAATCCCCCCTTTTCCAGTCCGTCCAATCAAACACACCTATGGGTATGTATGTGAAAACTGTTAAGGTTAAAGTAAAGTATAAAATTGTATTATTAAAATAGTTGAATTTAAAATTAAGAATTTGGACGCCAAACCCGAAAAATCCCGACCCGTTGTCATCCAAAAAATTAAACCCAATTTGAAAGCTCAAGGATATGGCAATCAATTAATATATTACTCTCTCTCATATATTTTATATCGCTTACACATCATTGGTTTAGAAAATGGGTCTAGAAAGCGGGTTTATATATATATATTTATATATATCGTTTTTCTTTATGAAAAGATATGTAAGGTGATATGACCGTCTCATTTGGCAACTTGAAGTTTTAGCAAAAAAACTAAAAAGCCACAATAAGCTGTCATGTCACTCTCTCTACTTTTTTGAATATTTTTTCGTAAAAAGTCAAAAATTTACTAAAATAATATGTTTTCAATCCAAACCAAGCCTAGTATATTTTTTTAGATTGTTGCCAAACAACAGTTTATTATTAATCAGTAATTATTTTTAAAAAAATTACACTAACTTATAATTTTTTCATTAATTATTTGTAATATTTTTATAATTTATTATTATTTTATTTGTATTTTTTTTTTTATTACGATGGGTGTGTTTACTTGTTTGTTTTTTGGGTACATTATAAATACACCTTCTAATATTTATTTAAAATACGATTTGCCTTTTATAATTTTGAAAATTATAAATACTCTCTTGTTATAAATTTTTATTTAACAAAATTAACATTTTCAATGAAATTTACTTTTCTATACAATAATAAAATTATAAGAATTGTTAATTGAAATATATTTTTGTCATTATTAAAAATTGTTAATTAACTTAATGATTTATTAATAAAATGAGTTATTTGTTATACAATTAGAAATTTGAATGAGCAATATTTAATTTTCAAAACTATAGAGATAATTTGTATTTTAAGTAAATTTTAGGTGGTGTGTTTGTAGTTTACCCTATTTTTTAAATCAAATTTTACTTTTTTTTTTTATTAAAAACAAAAAGTCTATAAAATAGTAGAGCCCATTTTCATTTCTCATTATATGATAAAATAGTTATTGTTCTCTTTATTTTATAGGATTCTCTTCAAATCACTCAATTCACATATACCTTAAGAGGTGAAATTTGATTAATAATTTGTGGGCCCACAAAAATCATGTTTAATTGAGATTCAAATATTATTTAACCTCAATTTACAAATATAAAAAAATTATTATTATCTTTTATATCATAAATTTAACCAACAAACAAAACCACACTAGCACAGAAACAAATACATTTTATTTTACATTTCTAATGTCATACTAATAATTCATCACTCAACTCTATACTCATAATCTCGATTAACTTAATGTATAAAGTGTTTTGGAAAGTTGGTAAAAAGTTGATTTTTGGCTTTTTACCAAGTTTTTTGACTTTTTTAAAAGTGATTTGAAAAGTTAGTAAAAAACTAACTTTTTCACTTTTTAGTTTAATATTTTTTAAAAGTGTCACATCACTCTAAAATGACCAAAATATCCTTACTTTTTGCATGTCAACATTTTTCTGAATTAATTAATTATAATGTTCTATAGGGTAGTTTGGTAAATTTGTAAGTAACTTTTTTGGGTCTTCCCAAATGGGTATAGTGGCGTTTTTACAAGGATGGCGTTTTGGGAAAATTGCTCAAAAGGTGGCGTTTTCGGGAAGTTGCCAACAACGGCACATCATAATTGAACCTTCTAACCTAAACATGTTGACCTACTAACATTC